GAAAACATTAACAGACAGACAACCTTTTACAAAATAGCAAAAGAACAGCACAGACAATACGGAGTTACAAACAAAGTGTAAGGAAATTAACAATGCTTGTTGTATTACATATTGATATCTTCAAAGTGGTTTCTCATGAAAACAGGTAGAGACGTGCAATACTGATCAATCAAGGACTCACTGACAGTACCCCAAACCCACAAGTTAAAAAAGCAAAAGTTCGTGTTTTCTCAGAGTTTTTAGAGTTTTCAGTCCATAGTTGGCTGGCTCCTAGGCAGAGCACCCTAACAGTTTAGCATTCAGAAAACGGATGTTTATGGTACAGCAGACAGGAACCAGGGAGAGAGATAAAGGAAGATAGGAAAGAGATGAACTCTTTGAGGCCATGCCCCCAGTGGCCCTCCTTCTCTGCCCTTACCCTACCTCCTAACAGCTAGTCTTTTACAAAATCACCAGTGGACAAACCCATGGATGAATGCTCTGCCTAGGAGCCAGCCAACTATGGACTGAAAACTCTGAATAAACTAGGAACTTGGGGAAGAAATTTCCAGATAACTGAGACAATCGCTTTCTTCTCTGTGCACACAGAAGTCTTTCTGTTCAAGCATCTTCATTCCTTGATGGACAGACTGGCTACCCATTATCCTCTTGGGACAGCAGCTAGGACAAGTCTTTGAAGAGCACTAATCATCACTTTGGAATTTTCCCTCCCCATGGGCCTAGTCAAGAAAATCAGGTGCCATTCTTTTTTGTTTCCACAAAGGCTCTGTTTGCTCTGGGGTAAGCACCATCCCCTGACATGCAGAATGCTCCAGTGAGCTTCTCCTTTTAGCTACAAACAGACACTTTCAGCAGATGTGGGGCCTCTCTTCTGCAGCAGTGATGATCACAGGTGTCCTGAGACTCCACTTTCCTCACTGGATATAGCAGATCTGAATCTAGAGTTAGCCTGGTGACTTCAAGGGGACTCATAGGCCGTCAGGATGTTCCCACAGGATGAGAGCCAGACAAGGAAACAACAATCCCATGTGGTAAAATGTTGCTTTAAGCAACAGGTGAGAGTGTGAAAGAAGTAATATGATCAAGATGAGAAGGTTGTGATCAGGAATGAGAGGTGGGAAAAGCAAGCACTTCATGCCAAGATACTGGCTTTTGGGTCTAAAGAGGAGAGTTTACCCATGGCCCATAAGAATAACCTCATTTCTGACTCTTTCCAGTAAGAATAAAACTAATCGACAAACCCCCTACCTGTTCCTCCTTGGATATGGTGGTTTGGCCTTTAACTCAGATCCCTCTCTGGGTTCTTTTTGTATAAATACTAAAGATGGTCCCAGATCCATCACAGGGAACCTCACAGTGGCCAATCTGTTTTAATGACTGAGGCATAGCAATATCTGATTGAGGAAGAACCAAACAAATCTCCAGGTGAGAAAGTAATGACAGCCTTAGTGCCCATATTTCTCAGGACTTACTGTTTCCCATGGTAAGACTAATTTTAAACATTCCTTAGAAAATTACCATTATCTTTCAACTGGTACTGACCTATAGTAAGGAAGTATTCATAATTTGCTATTTTCAAGGACTATGTTTTGGGTTCAGATATAGTTTTCAAGAGAGGTCTTGTTTAAAAATATTTTGAATGATTATCCTAGATGTTTTCTGACTTGCAGAAAGCAGTTTACATTTGGGCAATGTCTTCTTAATGATGTTTCACATTACTGACATGCTGAGAGTTACCAGGTCTGAGTCAGTCCTAAAGTCTTGAAGGTAAGATGAATGATTCCAATAATCCTGCTGAACTCAGCCTACTCTGTACTCCTACCATCTTTTACAGGTGTTGCATTTATAGCACATGGAAAATTAAGAGACCCCCAAAGAGGAAGCCACAGGCCTTTCCACTGTGTTTTACTTCATCCTGTGCTGTTGCTAATTGGGAAGGGGCATGGTCAAAGGCATTGGTCATGTGAGGAGTGGAGAAGGGTATGGAAAGTACAAAGGAGCAAAGAATTCAGTGGAAAGAGGTGTATTCAAATGGTGAATCACTGTGCATGGCCACAGTAACTATGTAACAAATGGAAGTATAAACTTTCCATTGAAAACACACAAGAGAAAAACAATAGTTGAAGCAAAACAGTTTGTGAAACATGATTTATATTTTCTACAGAAGAGTTATTTTAAGAATCACTAACAATAATATATTAATGACAAAATCTGTTTAATTAAATATTCAGAATCCATCCCCAAACTCTGGAATTAAAAATCTATAGTAATTTTGACTGATGTTTAGAATTTCTGTGATGAGTGAGTCACTCTCTAGAAGGATGTGGTGCAGCACCCACCGTCAGGCTGTGGAGCAGCCTCCCTTGTGATGCCCATTATCTTTGCCTCAGGTACTCTGCTCTGCCTGGCCCTACACAGCTTCTGCCTCCTTCATTCCTTTGCTACATTGTCATCTTCTTTTTCTCAAAATATAGTCTTTCAACTTTAGTTTATTGTCACCTATTTCAGAACTAATTCTCTTCTTTCTAGATGTCCAGCTTCTCATACCATTAATTTTCATATATTGATGTGTGTATTAATGTGTGCAGTTGTGTTGGTATCTCTATATTTTACTCCTCAGATAGAAAAAACTGCAAGTAAACAAAAGAGAAAATAAGAATCTTTCTATGAATATGTCTATTTGAATCTAAATGCATTTTGTCCCACATAAATATTTTCAAATCTTATTAAATTTGATTTTTTTTGTGGTCTTTTCATCCATGTGTAAAGTTACTGAGATTGAAATTTTTATTCCTTCAATAAGAGGAAATTATTTGAAAGAACAAAGAAGAGAATAGAACTCACTCATTTTGAATGAAGTTTCTTTCCTACAAGGAGTCTTCTGTGGCTGGGTCAGGCTTTTTTTTAATTGCTTTTATTAATTTACTGCAATGTCAACCTCCGATGAATGAGAACTTGAATGTAAAGAGTAAAGAGGCCAAAATTTAAATGAAGCATAAAATTACTTTGTACTTTATTTTGGTAATTTTTTTATGAAAAATTTTCAAACTTTCAGAATAGTTACAAAAATGTACTACAAAGAACTCCTGTACACCCTTTATGTGTGCATCAGCAGACATTTCTTCCTTTGTCACAGTCCTGTCCTCTACCTTTCCATCTCCCCATCTCTCTATCTACTACATGTCTACCTGCCTGTCCACCTTCCTATAATACATAAATTTTCTAGAGCATTGCAGAATAAGTTAGAGACACTGTGTTACATCACCCTTGAAAACCTCTGTTTATGTTTAGGAATGAGAACAGTATTTCAAATAAACTGTGAAGCTATCAGAATTAGCAAAGTTAATATGGATACAGTCTTGTAAGGTCACCAAGAATCTGTGTTCAGATTTCTCCGAAGTTCTCAGTGATTTAATAGCTTCACGTACATACTTGCTCATTGGTCCCACCAGCACAGACCACTTTCCTCCTCTTCATTGCCTCACTGATCTCAACATTTTAAAATCATGTAGGGAAGCCATTTGTCTTAGTTTGACTTTGTTTCAGCTTTCTCATTTTTGCAAAGAGCCTGTGCATTTTAGCTATGGTAGCACAAAGGTGGCCTCCTGTCTGTGAAGAGTTGCAGCTCGGCAGCCACAGAGTGCTGGCTGGCCTCAAGTTTGGGATGCTGACATTCACCACCACGGGGCTATGGCTGCGTCTGTAGGTTCCTCGACTGCAAAGTTTGCTGCTTTCCACTTTGCAATAGGAAAGTAACTCAAGGGAGATATTTTAGAATACATATACAAGCAATTTCTCATCAAAATTTTATTCACTAGTTTCGCTTCTATTTATGTCTAACTCCAGCATCCCCTTTAAACTCATTATGCATTTACCATATTTGTTTAATGTTTATCTATTAAAGAGAATAAAAATGGTAAAAGAAAATCAGAAGTGATACAGAATTTCACTAAACGAAATGATAGAAATTCAACAAAGGTTATTGTATTACATATTAAGGGATAGTGTTATTTTCACTGTTAATTCAGTAATTCTTTTTTATATCATATGGGCTTGAAGGTTCTTTTCTTGTGTTGTTCAGTGCATTAGTCTAACAGTTTCTTTAATGCTCAAATTTTCCTAGGATTGAAAAATGACAGGGCTTCAAAACTAATATTTGGGTTTTTATACATTCATCTGCATAAATTTTGGGTTATGTCCTCACTGTTTTGAATTGATGTGATTTTTTTCTTGAGTAACATCAATATGATTGACAACATCAGTGCTACTCTTGAAGGCTCCTTCATCCTGCTGGGCTTCTCCAGGTGGCCTCACCTGGAAGTAGCTCTCTTTGTGGTGATCTTGATCTTCTACTTGATGACACTTATGGGCAACCTGTTTATCATCATCCTGTCACGCCTGGATGCCCATCTCCACACTCCCATGTACTTCTTCCTCTCAAACCTCTCCTTCCTGGATCTCTGCTACACCACCAGCTCCATCCCCCAGTTGCTAGTGAACCTATGGGATCCAGAAAAGACCATTTCTTATGCTGGTTGTATGATTCAACTCTACTTTGTCCTTGCCCTGGGAACTACAGAATGTGTCCTGTTGGTGGTGATGTCCTATGACCGCTATGCAGCGGTATGCAGACCCTTGCACTACACTGTGCTCATGCACCCTCATTTTTGCCGCTTGCTGGCTGTAGCTTGTTGGATAAGTGGCTTTACTAACTCAGCACTTCATTCACTCTTTACCTTCTGGGTACCCTTGTGTGAGCATCACTTAGTAGATCACTTTTTCTGTGAAGTCCCAGCACTCCTGAGATTATCCTGTGTGGATACTCATGTCAATGAGCTGATCCTTCTGGTCACCAGTTCTATTTTTGTTGTAATTCCACTCATTCTGATTTTGACCTCTTATGGTGCTATTATTCAGACTGTGCTGAGGATGCCATCAACCACTGGGTTTCAGAAAGTCTTTGGCACATGCGGAGCCCATCTTATGGTTGTTTCCCTGTTTTTCATCCCAGCCATGTGCATATATCTGCAACCTCCAACAGAAAGTTCTCAAGAACAAGGCAAATTCATTGCTCTCTTTTATACTGTGGTCACACCCAGTCTCAATCCTCTAATCTACACCCTCCGAAACAAAGATGTAAGAGGGGCGGTAAGGAGACTGATGGGGTGAGAGTAAACTCTATCCTTGTGACGTTGGCAGTGAAACGGTTCATCTCTCCACCTGTTGAACACTCCATCCAGCCATTCAGTGGCCACTTTCTCATCACTCAGAAGTTACAGAGCAAATCTTTTCATGATCCCGCAAGTCTCTCCTACACATAGAAATAAAGAACAATATATGGTACATAAATATTATTCACTTTTGGAGAACACAGACATTTAAAGGGAGGATCAAACATGATAACTTTTTCCACATCATAATTTGAATGAATCTAAAACCTTTTCTTGACCGACAATGAGGTATGGGATTTGTGTAAATATTTATAAAACAGCACTCTATATTTTATATAGAAATATGACATGAGTCTCTTCCCTCCATGCATCCACGGCAGACAGGAGGTCGTCACTCAGAAGCCACAGGGACTGCTCTAGCTGGGGGGTACATGTGGCCCCTCCCTGGGTTCATCCTGTGCCGAGTGAGTGTGGGATCCAAGAGCTGCTGGTCCCACAGTTCGAGTCCATGCTTTACTGACACCCCCACGGTTCCCAGCTGAAATTTCTCAGAGAGAGCCAGGTATTTCCCATCTAATTCTTG